TGATATAGAATCATTAATTACGTATACAAACCTTAAAAAAAACGTATCATTTCCTTATTTCGATTTCTTATAGGGCTTAAGATCCAAAGAGAAAGTTCGATCCTAAAGAAATAAAAAAAAAATTTTATAATAAAAATTCAAACCCAAATGATCCAAGAGAAAGATTGATTCTAAAAAAAAAAAAAATTTAATTAAAAAGCTCCTTCCCACTGAAATCAAAAGTACCTTAGAATCCAGAGAAAAAAAGAAATCTGAAGAATAACTATAAGAAAGAAAAAGAAAAAAAATTAAAATTAAAAAATAAAGAAATGAAAAAATCCACTTACTCACCATCGACGACAACTTACCTTCAGAATTTTCTATGGGAACCCATGAAAAAATAACAATTCTCTAAAAGAATTCGTTATTTTGGCAGAACCACTATGGGAGACCGCTAAAGATAACGATTCTCTAAGAGAATTCGTTATTTTAGTGGACCCACTATGGAAACTATTAAAAAATAATGATTCTCTAAGAGAATTCGTTATTTTGGCGGAACAACTATGGGAGCCCGCTAAAAATAACGATTCTCTAAAAGAATTCATTATTTTGTCAGACCCACTATGGGAACCCGTCAAAAATAACGATTCTCTAAGAGAATTCATTATTTCAGCGAACTCTCTATGATAACTTGCTAAATATGAGTATTCTCTAAGAGAAAATCATTATTTTGGTGAATTCTCTATGGGAACTTGCCAAATTTGACGATTTTCTAAGAGAAATCATTATTTTGGTAGACCTGCTATGGGAACCGGTTAAAAGTAACTAAGAGAAAATCATTATTTTAGCGAATATATTATGAGAACCTGCCAAATTTGACGATTCTTTAAGAGAAATCGTTATTTTGGCAGACTCACAATGGGAACCCATCAAAAATAACGATTCTTTAAGAAAAATTGAGAATCATCAATTTTTAATTTTTTTATAAATTAAGATTTATTTTTTTGTTTTTTTTTTTAATACAATTTTTTAAAAATTAAATAAAAATCATGACAACTTCATTAATTGGTATTAAA